TATGTATAAAGAGTATTATAACTTAAACCTTCCCTCAAACAAAGATGGTTCAAACTCAACCCGTCGTCATAAATTTTTCATCACACCTCCCATTAATATTTCATTCCTTTCCTTCGTTCTAACAGGTGTGTGTTTTTTTTTAAATGAATCTGTAAAGAGTTTCTACTTATGACTTGTTCCAAATAAGTTTTTAACATTTAGTATTTCTTGCTATCTAAATAAAGGTCCGATATCGAATTTACAAAAAAAAAAAAAAAAGGTCTGATATCGAAAACCTAGGTTTCTGGCATTTAATGCTAAATGATTAAAATCTTTTTTTGAGTTGTCATCACATAGTTTTTCTCATTTAATGTTTACATCTTTCATGTGTTTCCTTCTAAAAAAAAAAAGAAATAAAAAAGATTGATTGACGTTACTGATTTTATTTCCATCTTTTGTTTAGATTATTATTAGCTTTATTGATCTCAATAATCATCTTCTCATTTAATGTCGATTGCCATTTCTTTATTATTTTTAATCGGTGTTTAATGTTGAACGTTTCTTCCCTTAAATGTATTGATTTAAATTTTGAAATCTTCTCCATTAACGATGATTAAAATAAAAAACCCAGTATTTCAATTATGTTTGAAATTCTTCCTTTAGTTATTATTGGTTTATCTATTTCACATATATTGACCTCTGTGAAAAGGAAGTTCAAAAATATTTTGCTAACGTAAACATGGGTAATTTAACCGTGACGGTTTGTTAATCCCATAGATTTGGTTTTGAATCATTTTGGCCGAGACGACTTGGTGATTCAAAAATTCATTTAAGGTTATCATAAAGTAACATGAAATATATGTTAAAATGATTAGCTGAGTTGTGACATCTTGTTAATTCCTTTATTCTTTAGAATCATTTCGACTGTGACAGTCCGATGATTTTAGACTATTTAGTAATAATAAACAAACAAACAAAAAATCAAAGTTTTATTTAAAATTATTGATTTTGGGTTAATTTAAAACAGAATAAAAAATTAAGGCTAAATTACAATTTACTACCTTGTACCCCTATTCAGAAAATCACCCCCTACTTTTAATTGAAATAATTAACCCCCTCAAACTATATCATTAAAGCAATTAAGCATATCGGTTAAAAGAAACATCCAACTCTGTTAACTATCTCACGTGATGATCGAAAATCGTCCAATCTTCATTTCTAAAAATCAAGAACTGTTCTATTTCTTGATCACCTTATCATTCTTTCTATCGTTCGCTAAAGCATCTAAAATCCCATTTTCCAACAGATGCTTTTTTCATTGGGTTGGTTATATCGATTTTTAAGTGACGATAATTAATTTCTCCCACAAAAAAATATATATATGTATATAGTTGTGTTCCCTAATCTTCTTGTTTCTGGGTTGCTTTTTGGTTTGTAGTTCTTTACATCTTTTCTGGTCAAATATCATTCCTATAAATTGTTTTTTTTTTCTTCTTCTTGCTCTAGAATAGTGGATCTTGGGCGTTTTTTAAAACTACTAGTCTTCTGTTTTCTGTTAAATTTTTTGGCATGTTTAAATTAAAATTTCTTTGTTTTGCCTCCATCACCATTATCAGCATGCAATATCTTCTTGATCGCCTTTCGTGACTTCCTATACATTTTGACGTTCCTTTGGAGTCTTCTTGAGCTTGGTCTCTCATGAGAGGTTTTCCTAGTGGCCTAACAACAAAATGATGTTTCTCTTTTCTTCTTCAATTGTCCAAACCTTCAAGTGTTTATGTTTTTCTTGTTTGATAAAAAAAATGTACTAATAGTTTATTGTGGTGGTTAATTCCTGGCTTCCATTTTGAATAAAAGAACTAAAAATCTATCAAATCTGAATTTAGCACTGTCAAATCCATATTTTTATTAATGAACTCCACCAGCATTTTTCATTTCATTTTGTCCCATGCATTTGCATGTTCCTAACAATTATCAACCATGCTTAAAGCTTTTCAAATTGTTAATTTGTATCAGAGTCTTTTCTTTTTGAAGATTATTTTAATATAATAAAACTTATCAAATACATTAATCATTATTACATTAGTCTGTCACAGTAGACAATAGTATACAAGAATAAATGCAAATCCAATACAGCTATAGATATCTTAAGTCTCAATTGTTTTTCATGGAAGATAGGATCTCTAAAAGCAATTTAAAGTTATTTAATTTCAATCGAAAATAACTGCCTGATTGAGAAAGATAGGGAATGTTACGATGGCAGAAAATTGAGGTGGGTTGAATATTTCCCTAGCTAATTGCGGCACACTCCAACATGAACCATTGGGAGTCAATACAGAAAAGGAAGAAGAGAATGAAGAATAATAATTTCTTTTATAGGAAAAATTAGATGCTGAGAAAACCCTAAAAGGAATGATACGGTGATGAAGATATCGAAACATGAACAATTTTTGTTTTTTGGAAAGGAAGAGAAGGACTTGGTGGAATATTTTTTGATCACGTGAGAGTTAACAGAATTAGATGTTTTCTTAACAGATATGCTTAATTGCATTATTGACATAGTTTAAGGGGGTTTATTGTTTCAATTAAAAGTATAAGGTGGTTTTCTGGAGAGGGGTCTAAGTATGGGGTGTTAAATTATAATTTAGCCAAAAATTAATTTGATATCAACTGAAATGGGAGTCAGCTAAGCCGTGACGACTTGTTAACTCCACATATTTATTTTGACTCATTTTGACCGTGACGGTTTGGTGATTCAAAATAAAATCAAATTTAACACAAAATTTACGATAACAAAAAAGATTAATATGAATATTATTATTCTTTAAAAGAAAGGATTAGCTGAGTTGAGACAACTTGTTAATCCTGCAATTATCATTTCAGATTATTTTAACTGCGACAGTTTGATATTCCGAAACCATCAAATCCAAAACTTTCAAATTATTTTCTTTAAAACTACTTTCAAAATTAAAATCAATCAACACACAAATATTTTCTACAGAACGACGTAGCTTTGAGTTCCCTATTGCACCGAGGGATACGTCGGAGCGGGACTCTTCCCGTCAAGTACAAAAATAAAATTTCAAAATTAGTTTTCTTTTCCAACGATCAATTTTATTTATTTAGGGTGAAATAAATATTTAAAATATTATCAATAATTTGCACAATTAATATAAGGTAACCGTTTTAACAGACGGTGTAGGGTGCTAATACCTTCCCTACTCGTACTCGACTCCCGAATCCATTTCTTTTGTTTTCAAAGACCAGTTGCCTTTAAAAAAGGTTTTTTCAATGTTTTCCTAAATAAACTTTGGTGGCGACTCCATTGTTTTCTATTGAGAGTTTGAATAAGGAAACAAGGTTAACGATTTTCTTGTCTGTTGGGAGCAGAGAAAGAGTAAGAGACTTTTGAGTGAATTCTTCTTCTTTAAATTTCATCTTCTCCCTCTCTCAGGTCTTCCCTCCCTCTCCATGCCTTGTCTTTATTTTCGCTTTTTCTTCTCTGAATTCTTGTTTGTTTTGTAAATTGAAAACAAGGTTTCTTTTAATTCTTTTTGTTTTGTAAATTGAAAACAAGGTTTCTTTTATTTCTTGTTTGTTTTGTAAATTGAAAACAAGGTTTCTTTTATTTATTTTTTTGTTTTGTAAATTGAAAACAAGATTTGATTTCTGTTGTCAATGTTCTGAGCATTTTCCTTGTGTCTTGTGATATCTTTCGCATTGGAATCAAAAGTTAACGACATAATGTACTTAAACAAACAAAAAAGATAAGAGAAATAAAAAATAAGACAGAGCAAAGCCTTTGGCAGCTGACAAAGAGGAAGAGAGTTTCACTGTATGAATTGTGTTTTCCATTATTGGTTTGAATTGAATTGAATTGAATTAAACCCTTCACTATTTTCTAATAGTTACCATTATTGTCCAAGTATTTTCTTCTGTTTCTTTCTTCTGTTTCTTTCTTCTTCTTTTTTTATTTTAATTCTCGTTAATTCTTTTTTTAAAGACAACCATGAATATTAAAATTTTGTTTTCCATTAATTCTCGTTAATGCTTTCATTACTCTTTTTTTTTTATATTTTCAGTTTTGGACTTCATTGTAGCTTGCTAGAACACTTTGCTCATATTCATGCTACTTGTTATTTGTCAGTGGATTACTTTAGTTTTCTGAATGGTAAAGTGATTGCATTTTGTTTTGTTCATCCGCAGTGAGTTTAATTTGTTAACCGTGCATTTGATTTTGATTATGTATGCTAAATGGAGTCTGATTTGTTCAAAGATTTGCTTTGTATTATATTTGTATTATATTTCAAGTATTTTTATTTATAATATAATATTTTTTTTTCGCCTCGTCATTAAAATTTCTACCTCCGCCACGTTGATTAGGTTGAAACCAACTCAGTAAAAACACAATACCGATTTTTTTCTTTTGTACCAATGACCATTCGCGGATAAAAGAATATTTTTAGAAGTTAGCTTATATTCAAAATTTGCATATTAAAATATACTTACTTTTAATAAATTATATAATGCATTGTTTCTTTGTTTGGTTAAAGAGCCATGAAAACAAGGTTTCTTTTAATTCTTTTTGTTTGGTGCATTTTCTTTGTGATTTTGTGATATTTGATTTCTTTCTTTTCTTTTAATTCTCATGTTGCATTGTTTCTTTGTTTGGTTAAAGACAGCCCTGAAAACAAGGTTTCTTTTAATTGTTTTTGTTTGGAGCATTTTCTGTGTGATTTGTGATATCTAATCTTTGCTTGGTTTTGCATATAGGTATCTATTGTTCTCCTCTCTAATAGTTACCATCACTTTCCAAGTATTTTCCTGTGTTCTCTTTCTCCTTTTATTTTTTGTCATGTATTGTTTGTATGTTAGGTGAAAGAGGCCCTAAAAACGAGGTTTTTTGTTTTTGGTAAATTAAAAATAAGGTTTATGTTGTCAAAGTTTGGGCTTTTTGCTCTGTGATTTGTGATATCTGACCATTGCTTGGTTTCTCATATAGGTGTTTATTCTGGTTCAAGATGACTCTGGAGAATTATTTGATAGATGAAGATGGGGCTGGAGACCATTTTCCAGTGGGTATGCGTGTTTTGCTTGTTGACGATGATCAACTTTGTCTCGAAGTGTTAGGGAACATGCTTCGCAAATGCCAGTATCAGGGTTTGTCACCTCTCTCTTCCTATTCTCTTAATTCGAGTCTGCATTGATTTTTTGCTCATCAACTGCATTGATTTTTGCTTGTGGGGTCATGCTTTATTTTGCGTAGTGATAAACTGAACATATAGTTCGTTGCCACTCTAAAGTTTTAAATCTATTGGCAGATATTGTGTCCTGTCGCTTATATATACATCACTTGACAATTTTCTAAATTTTCAACTCAGAATTTCTTTCTTTGCAAGACGAGCGTTTTCTTAAATCTTTTAAAGTTGAAACTTCTTTTGAAATTAGAATATTTTAAAAAGTTATTTTCTTGTGTTGCCAAATATTGTTGGGAATTCAAGTATGAGTAATAAGAAGTTCTTTACAACCCATTACTGTGAGAACTATAAATTTCTTATTGGGAGAATCAATATACTTTGATATTGCATGAGGTCTTTAACTTTTACGATGCTGAATAAGTCTAACATCTGATTTATATTTGTTGCAGTTACTACAACTATTCAGTCAATTGAGGCATTAGATATGTTGAGGACAAATAGAAATATGTTTGACCTCGTTATTACCGACGTAAATATGCCACACATGGATGGACTTAAGCTACTAGAGATAGTGGGACATGAAATGGACATACCTGTCATAAGTAAGCTCAAATACTCTTGTCTTAGCATGTATTCAACAAGTTATTTACTTCTCCTTATTATGAGATTACTGATATTTATTATTTCATTGTTTATTTTTTTTGGTGATCTAGTGTTGTCAGAATTGAGTGATATAGAGGTCGTGAAGAAAAGTGTTATACTTGGCGCATGTGACTATATAATTAAACCTCCTCGAATCCAAGTACTGCAGAATATATGGCAACATGTAGCGCGAAGAAAGATTGATTGCAAAGGTCAAAATACGCACTTCAATGAGGAGAAAGCATGCAATATAGCGGGGGAAGGTAGTCAAAGTATAAGTAATGCTGACCATAATCAAATGCATGGTAAGAAAAGGAAGGAACCGTGTGTGGAAGAAGAAAATGGTGAAATGAATGCAAAAGAGAATGAGGAACCTTCAAATCAAAAGAAGCCTCGTTTAAAATGGAATGATGACTTGCAAACAAAATTTCTTGCTGCAGTCAATTCACTGGGCATTGATAGTGAGTTTACATGATAATGAAATTTAATTTTCCTTTTCTGTTTGACATGTGAAAATTGAACTTATAATGTGAACTTGATACCTCAACATGGATATTGACATTTCTAATATGATCTTTCTTCAACTGTTATTGTAGAGGCAGTTCCTAAGAAAATACTTCACTTGATGAATGTTGAAGGTCGGGTAATATACTTTTTAACTTTAAGCAATGATGGTTTAAAACTATGGTTTATTAAAATTTTGAACAAAGTTAATTAGGAAATATCGATATCCATAAAAATGCATAACTTTAATCCATAACTTGTATTGCGATAACAGTGCATAAGCTCACTCTTATTTTGTATTGCAGAAATACAAACTTGGCTGCCTCAACAACTCAACAAGCTAGCATGGTTGCTGCGTCGCGTTGTAGTGATTCTTACGTGCAAATGAATTCAATAGATAGATATGGAAATTTTGACACCTCATTTGGATCAAGATCCAATCTATTGAGACACAAAATATAAACAACTCCATAGAAACACTTGGAAACATCCAGCCGTGCATGTTTTCTGCAAATCAAAGCTCAAGTTTATCACAGGGAATTCCACCAATTTCAGCAGAGCAACTATATAACTAGTTTTGAGCAGTTTAGTTCAATTGATGGGTCAAATGGATATGTGGTTTCCTCTAACTTTCCTGGCAATTCTTCACTTTTGGATGAGGTTTTATATGAAGATCAACTGCCTCTGAATAGCTTGAAGTTTTCCTCCTCTAATTCTCATATAGGGAACAATCCAGTTGATTTTTCTTCCACAAGTGCTATTGGTATTCCTTTGGAGGATGCTAGAGGGGAGCTGCAATGCAAAGAAGGCTTACTTGACAATATCTTAAAGGATTCAAGCAAAAAGAGAATTGATGCATCCTTGGTTGGCCAACTGAGTGAGGCTGCTCCATCAATCACCCAATCCACAAAAGTTGATAAATCCTATTTAGATGCAGGAATGAAGTCAAATGATGCCTACATTTTGCAGCCCCAAGAAGAACTCACCGAGGAGGATATTTTTGGTACTTTACATGACATAGTGAGTGATATTGGTTAAACAGGCATGATCAAATATTCTTGTATTTGTTTAATTTTTAAGAGAAATTAACACTTCCCATTTTATCTTTCTTTAA